GGTTGAAGTGATGTAAGATATCTGTAAAGCGCTTAGGCACATCGTTGGATCGGTGTATTGAGCGCTATATAAAAAACGGATTATTATTATTATTATTAATGGAATGGTTAAAGTAAGAAATCATAACAATCACTGATTTACTTTAATACGAAATTATGCTGACAAAGCCTAGGGCGAATGATTAAAAAATTCTTGTATTACAAGAAATGGCAAGTTGTATTCAGATAAAGATTTTAAAAAAAAACTGATAACGTTGAAGTTATGATACACATCGGACAAAATATGTTAAAAACTGATAGATTATTAAGAATATTGCAAAAGCACAATGATAAAAATTAACTTCAGTAACGAGGCTACATCCCTACTCCTGATCTGATTCCTCATCTTAAGGGAAGGGGTTGTTTGGCTCCCACTTTGCCGACGATTAGGCCTTCCAAAGAGTCGTAATTTCCGTACTAACAATATTTGTGCAAACCAGAGAGTTCACTAATCAGAAATTAGTTGATATTTGTCAAATTCAAACTTGGATTCCATAGTCCGCAGGCGTATTTTCCCCCATCGGTTCATCAATCGGAAATTTCATGTCCATGCATTTAAGAACGTGTGAAACAATTTTCTTTCTTTCTGGCAAAGATTCATAATCTTGCTGGAGAGATATTGCGAAAAGTTCACAAGGATGCATCTACATAGGCAATATTGTAAGTCTTGAAGATTCATGACAGGAATAAGGGGGTAAAGCTTACAAGATTTGTTAGGTTCCTGTTCTGCATATTACAAATGTTTACTCGATGGGAAATTATGGATTTGTTTTGGGTATAATTTCGTTACTGCTATGGGTAATTTACTTTAAAATTTACGACTCGTTCTTTTCTCTTTTTAACTTTCTATTTCCAATAATCCCCATAAAGTGTAGATCTTTGTTAGCTACACTTTTATCTCTTCAAAATATAAATTTCTGCTTATTTTCCCCTCGTGTCTTTACCATTCCTCATAAATAAACATAATTTCTTGATCACCTCTCTCATGCCCAGGATTGCAAGCCGCTATTCTAGCAAGCGGCTCTTGTCTTTCGGTCGTGTAGTATAAATGCAGTATCCTCTCTCTTGAAACCAGAACTTAAAAAGAAATTCAGTTCAATTCAATAATGGTTTGATTCCACAATGCTTTGCAGACAAAGGCTGAACTTTCCATGTTCACACCATTAAAAACTCCCAATAATTTCTACATTCAACATGAAGTAAAAAATTAAATTTACTCAAGAATACATTGCTTGAGAATTAATTTTTTTTTTTCTCCAGAAATATACCATTTTTGAAGAAAGAATATACAAGGTTAAAATGATATTAAAATGCAGAATGGAATTGTAATTTACTTTAATAAAAAAGAATACTATTGAAGCCTATGATATGATTAATATATATATAAATAGATGGCAAGTTGTATTCAAATAAGATTTTGATAACTTAAACTTTAAGGTTTTGATACACATCAGAAATAACATTTGTTTCAATAATGTGGTTATAGGTAGGAAGTTATTACTGAGGATGATTATCTAGACGTCAAGAACCACAATCGAGCGTCATGTTAGATACATAAATAGATATCTCATACAACTTAATCTTAAGAACAAAAATAACTTAAGAAATATTGAAAGTGAAAATTAAACCGTTTGTAAAATCAAACCGTTTGTAAACTTCTATACATGAGTTTTTTTATTTTTGTAAATTGAGGTTCGTTCAAATTTCTTTTTTCATGCACAGATGGCGTAGTTGGGCAATCAAGAGTACTTTTTTTTCATTTTGAAAAATGCTATTTGGCGGCGTTTGTTTGACTTGAACATAAAAGTCAACTTAACCTATGGATATGCATTTAATAAATTGATTACACATTAAAGCTTAAGAGCGTACTCGTAATGAAAGTTTTAGAAATACCTTTACGCTGTTTGGATAACTAAATACTATGCGTATAAAATTATCAGCAGTATGTATAGTAATTCTGTTTTAATATGAAGTTTGATTTGAATTTTATTTCTTTTAAAAATGTGTTAAATCTACGAAGAAATCAACCGACCGGCAAACTTTTGGGGAAAATGTCCGAGTCCAAGAAAAGTCCAAGTACTATAGTTCAGATGTTTCTTTAGAGAAGTTGTGGTCTCGTTGATAGTCACCATACTGTGGATTCCAAGGTAGTGACTAATTCAAATCCACTTCACATCGACAACGCTCTTTGTTAACATTTTGTATTTATTTTTCGTTATATTTTGTCCGGGTTGCATTGTCAGTTACAAAACTGATTCTCACAAGGCTCCTGTTGGCCTAGATTAAGTGAGTCTACAATATTAAAGATATAATGATTGAGAGGTAGACTAAGAATAATCTATCAATAATGATGGCGCATTTAAAGACTTTCGTTGGAAATAACCTCCAAAAGACAAAATACAAAAAAAAAAAATATATATGTATTAAAAGTAAAAATAACTATACTGTTTAAAACAGTAATCATTACGTTAAAAAATCGGAGATGTGGAGGGAAAAAAAATTCATCTGATTCATTCGTTAAACTCGACCCACGCCAGGTCCAGTCGGAAGAAATTGCCAGGATGTCATCCCGCGTCGATCATCAGGGCACCGGGGCTTTACCGACGGGCAATAATTCCAAGTAGTTTGGGAGTACAGAGATTATTTTGATGAGAAAACTGTTAAAATAATGGTTTTGTTCATCTTACATGACATGGTGCGGTTGTAAATAAATCTACCATGAGGCTAACATCGAACGCATCTACTAAACATATCAATGGTGCCTCATTCGTATTCATTTAAAAAACGATTTTATTAATTCCACATAATTTATCTTCAAATGACGAAAGTTGTTGTACATCAGAATATAGTAAACACTTAAATATGGGGAGGGGATCACTTTTTTTTAGTAATAAATACATTATAATTGATTTTAATGCAATATGGTGTTATGTAATATAAAGTAATGTAATTGATTGATTAATAAAAATATTAATTAAGTAATGTTCAATTTTTAATTATATTCGCATTTACATTAAGATTGTTTATGGGGAATATTTATGTATCGTGTTTAATTTTATTTGGGCTTAACTTCATTGGAAAATTGAGTAGAGCATGCATGCAGAAATCATCATGTACATATAATTCATTTGTTTTCAAATCAAATCTATTAGTCAAAAGTATAAAAAGGCAAATCACAGTATAGTGATATATAAATAGGTAGGAATATAGAAATACATCAAATACAATTCATAAATTAAAATACATCAGATACTTCAAATAAACATTACATTTAATAGGCGTATACGTACTTTATATAACTTGTTTTGTAGAGGCAATGCAGCCTCTAACTAAATACGATAAAAAGACAATCCTTGATCTTTTATCAACAATGGAAGCAGTCTATAGCAGTGGAGGGCCACACGCGGTAAGGAGGAGGAGTGACAACAATCATAACAGCTGAAAAAATGTCATCGTGATACGTATTCTTTAGATTTAGGCAAATTAAAACCGTTATTCTAATATTTAATATAAATTCCCTAGCTGATAAAAAGTAACTTGCAAATGGAGCGCTGTTGTAGGAATATCATCGCAACAGAAAAGAGTGTGGAAGACAAATAGCGAGGGGGAAATTAATGAAAAAAGAAGGGATGGTAAATAGAGACGATAGAAAGAAAGAGCGAGAGGGGCGACAGTGATAAGGTAAAGAACAAGAGAGGAGTGGAGAGAGAGAGAGAAATATTCACAAGAGCAAATGGAAATGAAGAAGGATCTTTTTCGTTTATCATGTTCATTGACGCAGTTTAAAGCTGGAATATTTTAATCTCACTTTTTTTTAAAGATCTTACTTTGAATTTCTTGATTACTCTTGGATGACATTAAAATACAATCCGTATCCCTGAATTTGCTATATGAAAGCCTTTTCCCCCCAAGAAATCCAATTCGTGATCTTTTATTAAAAAAGGATTCATAATAACGCACATATCTTTCATGCAAGGTGCTCAAGGCGCTCTAAAAGTACTCTGGCTCTGCTCATATAGTAACAAGGAATTCTTTCTTACCGGTAACCAGTTAACACCTGGGTGTGGCAAGTTTAGATTAATGCTTTGCCAAAGGACATTAGTGCCAAGGTGGGGTTCGAACCGCGAACCATGCGATCCACAGTCCGACGACGCATCCACCAGACCACAACACATGTGTATCTACCCTACAATGATTTGGTATAAATTATATTCGTGGAGGTTCCTTTCAAGTTGATGAATCTAACAATACTGTCCAGTAGGACAAAACATCCCGATCTTTATAATGTTTCCCTATAATTTCATATCTTATTGAATTAAAAAAGTTGTAATTTGTTTAAAGAAGAAAATCACTATTTCACAATTTGTTTTAGAAATGCCATTTACAACTTCAGCACCATTTCTCTCCCCATTTCTCCCTTTTTTAATCTCTCTCTGTCTGTTTATCTCTCCGATAGTCTCTCCCACCCCTTCTCTCTCTGTGCCTCTTTCTGTCTCTTCCTGTATCTCTTTGTCTCTCAAATATTTTTCACACTAAAAGGTACATACAAATTATAAAGTTAAAACAAGTCTCTACCCAATGAAATAATTACAATACAGCAACATGACTTGTCTAAACACATAAAAGTGTAAATAGAACGCTATGCTATATGGATTGCTCACCCAATCAGCGGCTATTACCGACGATTACCAACGATTGAGGCGAAGTAGGTGAAAGTAATAAAAAGGGGTGTGGCTAAAATATGGAGATTATCGGAAGAGAGAAAAAATAATCATCATCCAATCTTTAAAGCATAACAATTTTGCTTTCTTTCTCAAGGGCTGATGGAAATTCGGGGGTGGGTGGGGATTTTCGTCGCTATTTCCAGGGGGTATACCCCTCCCCACCCCCGGTTACCCCACATGCTATTTTGTCTCACTGGTATAGACACGACACACCACGGATCGCCCACCACAGCTGACCTCGATGAAGATGCCTGTTCAGAGCCGACCCCTGTCTTGTTTAATGGTTCGACCCACCCGCCCGTCAAACTGTCTCCTAAAGAAGAACTGCCCCACTTTTTTTCAAACACTAATGGTCTGTTTTATCACAATTGTAAGACCCTTGATAAGTGAACGTAAATGTTTATTCGTGTGATGCGACAGTGTCTCGGCAAAGATTGACACGGGATGAGAGTGAAACGTTTTCGATCAAAAAACTCAACCTCGCTACTCTTCTCCAAACCACACGCATATCAACGTCACAAACTTTTCCAGCCCGCGTGTGGCGGCTTATTATCATACATTCATTTATAGTTTTTTAATTGAGTTTTAAATTTGGATTTGAATATGTCGTACATGCAGACCTTCGTGCCTCCTTTCACAACCGGTATGTTCCCGGGCAACCCGTCGTCGTTTTCGGTGAAAAGCATCTTGAATTTAGCGGAGCAGCAGCCGCCGTACCGCGGGCAGACGGCCGGTTACCAACAGGGTTTGCCCATGGATTCTAGCTATTACTGCGGGCTCCAGGAAGATTGTATGCTCCCCGATCCAGGCTCCATGCCTCCCCCCTGCGACTACACTGGAGCCCCGAACGCAATCTACCCGACCCAGCCGCGGGATCCTCACACCGTGGAGCATGGCTCCGTGCCTATTCCGGTAACGGCTGCTTCCAACGGGACACCGTGTTCATTCCACCCCGACACGACAGGCGATATAAACATCAGAGAGATAGGTGGAGACGATACGGCGCCCAACACTAATCCAGGTAGATAAATATCTTATTTTCTTAAATCGCATGTCCTTGTATATTCGTGTCAAGTAAATTCTTGATGTGAAATCGTGTATTTTCCTTCGCAATAATATACCTACATATCCTCGCTCTCAGTCATGTCCGTGGTTAATTTTGTCCAGCAACAAAATAAAATAAATGATGTCTAGATATTTAATCTGTTTTGAGAATCCTTCGACTTGCAGTTTAAACTTAATAGGGACTTAAGGCCCAACGTGGTCGGTGACAACTCAAAATTAAACATGAATAATCTCCGTTTTTTTAAAATTTGTCGATAAGTTTGACCTCCAAAAACAAGTTATAGGCCTACTTAAGTTATAGCCAGAGACGATACTCTTGATTATAAAAAGGCTCATCGGTTATTAAAGATAATATTAATCATCGAATGTTTCAATATTGAAGAAAAATAATTAGCGGCATACCGGACATGGATTAGATTACTTTATCGGTTAGTTTTCAAAACGTTATGTTGAGGCTCATGTGCATGCTCAAACATTTTCTTACCTTTTTTTTTATACTTCACCGATTGGCGAAGTAAACCAGCCAATGCAAAGCCCCCTGTGTTTTCAAATTTTTGTTAGGGATAGCTTATAAATCTACTATTTTTACCTGTTATTACCACCACCTCGGATTTCTAGGAATGATCTATATCGCGTGTCTACTCGCCACAAAGTATGTTGCCCTTTTAAAGATTAACTTACCCACATTTTCATCAATGATTTCCTCTCAAAACAGACAATGTCGATTAAAAAAAGAATATGGTACGTGAAGATAAGCTCGTATTACAATTATGATTTGGCAGATAAATTGCATTTAAACATACTGCCGTCTCTTTGAAGCAATTAGTAGTTTGACATGTATTATTATTAGTGAAATGTGAGTTATTAGAATTTATAATAATTTGGGGTTGATTTCTTTTTAAAGACAACGATTTTATATTATACAATACAGAAAGGAAATCAGGTAAGATTTGACAATGAAAGTGTAAAATGCTACACAAATATATTCACATTTAGAGGCGACGAATCGAATGATGATTACAACCCTTTCTACCCTTTCAATGTTTCCATATTCTATTCTCCCCCCCCCCCCAAAAAAAAACAACAAAACAACAACAAAAAAACAACAACATGAAAACAATATCTTCAACAGTAGCCATTGGCAGAATATGAAAGTAGGTTGTGTTTAAAGAATTAATGAAGAAATATGCTGCATGTCAAATATTCGCAAAGGCATTATACAGATTATGGTAATTTTGGAAAGGCACATTGTTTCCTTAAAGAGATCTTTGAAAAAAAGTTGAAAACATTACAGTTTTGTTCATTCATTCATGTGAACATTATTATGTATTCATTTGAGCGCCTGTCCAGATCAAAACAGAAAAGTCACATTTGGGTTGAAAAAGGAAGAAAGAGAAAATGTGCAACATGTTGAATCAATCTTTGTTTAAAAGAGTGAGAAATGTGACAGTTGACAGGAGTATTTAATCTAATATGGAAGCCTTCGGTAAATCTGTTTGGGTACTGCTTAATAAGCGTGTAAGAATGATGCGGATGATAACTCGTCTTGCGCGCTTGATGGACGGGCGAGACAGTCGGCTTCGGACACCCAAGAATTGTCCTTCACGTAAAAGCTCTCTGATGTTCGTCTCCTTTCTCTACCCCTCTCTCTGTGTCTGTCTCTGTCTGTCTCTCTCTCTCTCTATCACACCCTCTTCCAATGGCCCTACTGCTCTTTCTCCCCTCCTTATAATTCCGCCCTGTCTTCATGTCTCTCTCGTTCTCAATTTTCCTTCATTTGAATATGCGTTAGGGTCAGGGGTATAACAAATTTAAAAGAAAATGTTAATCTGCATTTAATTTAGATGTACATACATGTATACAAATTATTTTTTTCCCCTTCAAAGTGACGGACAAATATAGAATGTAACTGAAAACATTTGTTTTTACTGCTTCAACGTTTAATGCTTCATATAATTATGGCCTTATGAATATCAATAGTTGAATGGAAAATAAAGAAAATGACTATATTCTCAGGAGACATTGCATCGTGAAATACAGTATGATCAAATTAATCAATTCCTTTCAAAGTTCTACAGAAATTCACCGTCGTAAAATTGTTTTAATCATAGCTGCTAAATGAGTTCCTTTAATCTTATTTAGCTATTCCACAACTAACTTCCCGCGTGTTTTATTTCTATATTTCAAATTTAAATTTACGTCTGTTGGGAACACACCCAAAAAATAACGTAATTTATCATTCTCAAATCTTAGGCCAGGCATTATTATTGGATCCTTGAATTGTTTTCACTAACCTTGGAAACTATAATTGAAGATCAAATTTTGAACTTGAATGTGTGACAATATTATATTTACCCTTGATACTTTTAGACACGTTTATTCCGTGATGATCGTAGAAAATGCCATATTGGACAAAACAAAAATAAGAATTAGAGTTTGCTTCATTCAAAACACTAATTTAACTTAATCTATTATTTAAATCGAATCACACATTACTTGTTACCAAGGTATGCTGATGCAACCAATTGTTTGTTGTATGTATAGTCATTAAAAGCTATTTCAATTACTGTAATATATTTAATTTATAATTTGGTGGATTTAATGAAATTCACATCATTTATCCTTTTCTGTAGATGGTAAATGGTCTCTAATCAGATTCCAAGAAGGAAATAAAAAAACAAACATTTTGATAGCACTCAAACAAAATACTTGGAGATGAATGTAAATTGATACTGATAAGATGATTATTCAATATAATTATCATCATTTTATATAAAAAGGAGTTCCATCCTGTCATCAAATTCACGGCATATTCTCGTGTATACGTGTATATATTCCGCGATTAATACAACAGTAGGCCTATGCATGGAGATGTATTTTCAATGAACGATGTATATGGAAATGAGAATGATGATATTACATACTTCTGGCATCTTAGGTTACTGGTATCTCATTATATACCGAGGTCTATCTAGTTTCATGTCGTGATTTTGCCTTATTTAATTTGCATGATAATGGTAATGACCTGCGGGAATCATTGTCATATAAACACACAAAATCCGTATGGAAATTATAGTAGGGTAGGCCTACATCATTACACTCTTTGGAATATCTCACAAGCAAAATATGTATATATTGTTTCGATTAACGCATAGCTTGAAGATGTCACTGTTGTTAGTATAAAATACCATGGAGGCTAACAACTCAGGTACATGGTGTATGTTTGGGTCACGACCTTTCGTTTGTTTTTGTATAATTTATATTTTCGTTGTATTCATTTACTTATTTATCTATTCGAATTCATTTAAATTTATTTACTATTTAATGAGGGTGAAGGGTATTGGGAGAGGTAGGGATTAATGATTTAATACAACAAGATATGGTGTCCACGGCCAATACATCCAAATGAGATGTTTACGATATTTGAAAATTATAATGACGTCATTAACTTAATCCTCATGTTATACAGTTTTTATTATAAGCTGTCAATTAATAGATAAAACAGTTTAGTTTAAGGTGCATGTGTTATTACTCCATTATCGTTTATCTCTGAATCACGCAATTTGGGAAATAGTTATTTTTTTAATGGTGATCAGGAAGAATATCTACTTTGATAAATACAGAATAATTTGCAGTGAACAACTGAATGATTCACAGCCCTTGTAAATTTGATGTTTGTTTTTAAAACTCAAGAATGAAAAGTGGACTGGTTGAATAGTTTTAGATGTATCGGATTTAACAAGTCGCACTCTTAAGAAGCATAAATCGGGAAAAATCAAATTTTCAACATACTTAACAAATTACAAATGTAAGGGTATATGAATAATTTAGTTGTTAACTGTAAACCGAACTATGTCAATCCGACACATGCATCAGATTATTTACAAGGAACCGTTGAGCGATTCAGTTTTGAAACGATAACGATTATTTTCATCAAGTGGTAAATTGGGAGACCTTGGGGTTATTAATAAGAGCCAAATAAGCACAGCGGCTTTGGGCCCATAACATTTTATTTATTACTTCTTTTTAAATGATAAGTGGAATAAGTGGAACTAAATTTCAGCTACGCCCGTAGAAATGTTCTTAAAAAAATAAATGTCTGCCCCAAAATTTTCTGAATGATTTGATAAAGCCTAATTGACTTGTTTGCATTTAAAAAACAAAGTATATCAATTACCAAATTATTCGTATTACCTGCTATTCGTGCCGAATCGGATATCAACGATTGAATATAAAGTAAAGCAAAACAAAAATAACGTATCCAGCATAGGGTGAAACTGGCGTACGCCCCTCCCCTTTATCAAGCTTAAGGGGGGGGGGGTTGCAGTTGGTCAACAGAGGATAGCTTTCGACACCCCTCCCCGCGTAATCCATTTATGAATACTCCATTGACATACAGTGTAAAGGAAAAGCCGATCTCTTTTTTTCTTCTCCATCTAGGCCTAAAATCATTATTCATTTTTGTTTAATATTTAAATAATTGGATAGCAGGTTCATGCGTGGTACTCAAATCGGCGATTTAGCATATATATATATGCAAAGCTTAAAATATTATTCTTTTTATCGGTGAAATACCTACGTGTATTTAAAGATAGGAAGCGTTCGATTACCGTAAGTGTATTCCCGTAACTGTCTTCTTTGTAAATCCACTCGCGTGTCCGTCCCGCGTCTAGTGCATTCAGAGGACCCTTGACGTGCACTACATTTATCGTTAGCCGTTTAGTGCTTTATAAACAAATACTTCAAAGTTATGAATGAGCCCATCCATGCAGCATAGAGTGGACAATTTCCGAAAGTGAAGGAGGCATTTTCAATCGATCATTTAAACCCGAAATAATATCGTCGCATCTCTTGCTTTTTTTTTGGGGGGGGGGGGCAGAGAACAATTGCATTTTTATTCACATATGGAAGCACTTGATTTGGAGTTTATAATTTGGGAGATTGATCAAGAGCCAT